ATTCAAAAAACTTAAAGAGTTTTATCCTTTCCTCTTAGTTACTTCTTTGTAGATGAAAATCTGTATATAACTCACGTAATCGTTGTTGCAGGGGGTCCTGAGACAAAGGCTATCTGGCCAGGGTCTCGCTTTTATTATCGCCGGTGGCTCTGGTATGCAACTAGGACTTATCTTAACATGTTGCCTTCTCTCAGTTTACTTTAGACCTTTTACCTCCAAAAGGAAACTGATCCGACTCCATTTTGCTTCATAAGTTGTACAGAAAATCCTGGAGGTGGGAGAAGTTCTCACCATTGATGTTGCTTGCATTGCCGCTCTCACTCCCTCGATCAATTTCCAAATCAAATACCATGCGGCATCTGTAAGACGGGCTGTGTTCGGGGTACGTTGCATTTTTGTCTCCTTTTCCATTTTGCTTTTGTACAACTTGCCAATATAAATCCATCTCACGTCTCTACAATCTTCCAATAGGGTGATAATGTAGTAACAGCGACCCTGACGGGACCAGGCATTGTGTTCATCCAAAGTTTACCGTTTCATAGGCTCTCCCAGCGAATCGCAAGGTTAAAAGGATCGACCTCTCTCTCCTCTTGGGTGGCTTTTATATATCGTTATAAGGAACAAGTGTTCAAATTAGACTCAGAAGAGGTTTTTTTTGTTTCTTTTTTACAGGTCGGTGACCTCTCCAAACATGAGAGAAAATCCAAGAGTATTGGTTCAAATAGGATTATTCATATTCCTTGCATACGTTGTGATTGCATCTTCTCTGATCCTTACCGAAATGTGAAAACAAAGTAGTGTTTTGTTGTTGCAGTAGATGGGACATGTAATCAGATATTTGTTTTATGCTTGTTAGTGGATGTTTGACGGAACAAAAAACTGTGTAAAAGAAACAAGGCTGATATGAGCCAAAGCCTTTGACTTTGATCTGGTAACAGCCTACGTACTGTTTAATGTGAGAAAGAGAGAGATTTAGCAAAGCTTTGGAGGTTAAGGTTGATTCTTGGAAGTTCATTTCCTATTGGTACAACTTAAATATAACTAATGTAAAAAGGAAAATATGGAAATCTAATTCATAAATTCAAACACCAAAATCCGTTAATTAAAAACGCCCTAACCATACTCTAAACACCCCCAACCATAGACTCCGTAGTATCAAAGGCAATGAATAATAGTTAATCAGGCTTTGAGAAGATATTACTGCATAACATTAGGATAGCATAGCAGGTAAGAAATCGGATCGGGGAAGGTTTCATAACCGTAAAAGCCTGATGCACTATCGTAGAAATGTTAACATCTTGATGAACAACGGCTATTTTCCATTTGTACGATGATCTTGTCTTTTATTGTTTTGTTTAAGCATATGAGTGAAACTCAATGTTGTCAATTTGTTCATATATACATTACTAATTTGATATATATTTTGTTTAAAACTGTTTTTTTTTTTTTTTTCTAATACAGTATAATTATCTTTCAGTATCTATCTATCAATAGGAAAACATATTAAAAGAGTGTATCAGGAAAATATTTAAAACATAAGGAATATTTGCTGTTTTTTTGCTAAACTACGTCTAAACTAATGATAAATTTAAATATTACTCCCTTCTTTCCTTAATAGTTAATGTTTTAGACTTTTCACATAGATTAAGAAACAATTAATGCTTAACTTTTAATGTATTATTTATTATTTTCATTTTAAATAACTATTAACCAATACAAATTATAGAATCCTTTTGAAGTTTACATTTTTGTGACATTTATTAACAAAAAATACATTTAATACTCTAAACTATCAACTAATAATGAACAAAAAAACAAAAATTAAAACATCAACTATTAAGGAAGGGAGGGAGTATATAAGAAACTTTAATTGTGTTTCTATCACATGATATTTCTTTTTTTTTAATATTGTGCCATTTTTTTATAAATATTTTTTTAGTTGAGAATACTTTTATAAAATTTTCCCTAAACTAAATAGTTTTCTGGATCCGCCACGGAAACTATACTTGTTTCCTCAGTTCTTTGGCTACGTACATCAGGAAAGAAATTTATTTTCGAGTTACAACTTACAACTAACAAAGTCAATTTAAACATAACCTCAATCATGCTTTCTCAATAGGTGTCTTGATGAGTCCTCAAACACGACATAAAAACTCTTATAAAACCCCTAAAAACTTTATGTTATTTCCAAAGCGGTAGTATTGCCCATCTAAAGCTTTCTAGTTTTACTATCTTGTTAAGAGAAATCAATTTGTTAGAAACTTTTTTTTTGGTGCAAAATTTGTTAGAAACTTATTTTAAGAAACCTAAACAATAATATATGACGTATTTCCAGGTTGAAATTGCTTAGTCTATACGTCTTATATGAGTGAAATATAAATTATCATTATTAATTTGTTACATATTTTGTTTAAAATAGAATGTTCCATTTTTTTATATTAGTATAATTATCTTTTATATTTCGATCTTACTCTCCTCCTATGGATGGCGGAGTATAGTTTCAGCTCGACCTCTGGTTAAAATAGGACTTATCAAAAGGGTTGGTTCAGGAACATCTATCTCTGTTTGGGATGATCCTGGATTCCAGCTTCTACCCCGAGGCCAGCCACAGGAGATGGGATTAATTACTACCCTCACCTCCGGGTGAGTGAGTTGATTAACCCAGTACAACAACGTGGAATTTACCACTATTGAATCAATTGTTTGACAGTATGGATGTCTCTCTAATTCTCGGGATCCCAACCTCAAATGTCGCCGACCAGACTCCATGGGATGGTTTTTTACGAAGACGGGGAGATACACGGTAAAATCGGGTTACACGGTCCTACAACAAAGTTTGGACGCTGATAGGCCCATCTTTATTGGTCCGGACACACGGCGTCTTCAAGCACAGGTTTGGAAGGTACAATGTACTCAGAAATTACAACATTTTATTTGGCAAGCTTTGACGGGATGCATAGCGGTAGGGGTGAGACTCCAGAGTCGCGGTATGCAGATAGACCCACAATGTATGCGGTGTGGGATGGCGGCAGAAACAGTGAACCACACACTGTTTGAATGCCCACCGGCACTGCAAGTTTGGGCTCTATCTCCAATTCCAACGGCTCCACAGCGTTTCCCTACAGGAAGTTTGTTTGCAAATATGGCATATCTTTTTTGGAATTTGCCAGACGATGATAGAATGCGGATGTATCCTTGGTTAATTTGGTATATCTGGAAATCACGAAATGATAAGGTTATGGCGAATGTGGACTGGGACCCAAATGAAATAATAATCAAAGCAACAGCGGAATCTTCGGCATGGGTAACCGCCCAGGAAAAACATGTAATGCTATGTCCACCTACTGACAACCTCAGGGAATCCCCTAGAACGGGTGATATTTGTCAAGTAGATGGGGCTTGGAAGGAGACAGAAAGTCGAGCTGGGCTAGGATGGTTTTACTTGAACATGAATACTCAGGAAAAGCTTATGGGAACTCGTAACTTGAGAAGGGGAATATCGCCCCTCCAAACGGAGTTGGAGGCACTTATTTGGGCCATGCATTGTATGCTACGGCATAATAAATTGTTAACGCGTTTTGAGACGGATTGCTCTGATGTGGTGAAGATGGTGTCTACGCAGAGGAGTGGCCAGCGTTCGCAATACTTCTTGACGAGGTTGACCGGTGTAAACAGGAGGTTTACCTCCTTCTCCATCGCGCACATACCTAGGACAAAAACACGAAGGCAGACAAGTTAGCACGGAGTGCTCGAGCTCTACCTACTGATGTGTATTATGTAAACTCTGTTTCGCCAACTTGGATTCCCGAGCTGGTTTAGAAATAGAGGCTGTCGACAAAAAAAAAAAAAAAAAAAAAAAAAAAAAACATATTAAAAGAGACGTGTATCAGGGAAATATTCAAAACATAAGGAATATTTGCTCGTTTTTTTGCTAATTAAGTCTAAACTAATGCTAACTTTTAGTAAAAATAATAACATTTAATTGTGTTTTTATAGATTTCTTATCTTAGTTTTATTTGGTCATAAACGTTTTTTTTTTTAAAATATCTTACTATTTTTATTAGCTGATATTTTTTTTTCTAAAAATGTGTCATAGACTAAATAATTTTTTGGATTCGCCACTAGTTGTTTGATCCAACGATTGTGATTGTTTGATTGCAAACTACAAAACATCTCTCAAGAATTCATGTTTTATTTATTTTTATTTATTTATCTAACTAATTTGGTTATTTGAGTTTACTCCTACCAAATGTGTTAATTCCTCAGTTTGTGCATGCTTTCTACGGCAACCCCTTTCTCGATCTTTTAAGGTCCTAAAGACAAACCTTAAAAAAAAACAAGAAAGGGACAAATGGTTGCCGTATTAGAATTTGGAACACACGGGACTAATCAGAAATCAAGAAAGGTGTTTACTCCTCCGAAGTTGCAAGAGCAAAGCAAAGTACAATTATATCGGATCCAACCATCACTTGACCATTGCAGGGATGTCAGCTTTCAGTGAAGCTGCTATACAGCCTGTTTTTATAGCACAATTAAAAAGTGGCATGGCTTAAACGATTTTTCTGCTTGGTTCGATTTGTACTATTAGACTTGTTTGAATCTCGTTAGTCTGCTGTCTGCATCATATGCTCTATGTCAGTAGCATCCATTAACGTATCATTGCCAAAACAGCTTGTAAACCTTTCAACACGAGGTCAAGTTTTTGTTCCTGCTTCGAGCCTCGTTACTGATCCGCTCTGGTGGTAACCAATTCTTTATTTTGACACAAAATAATTGAAGATGAGAAATCAAAAAAAAAAAAAAAAAAACACTAGATAAATAACGTTTAAACAGATTTAATGGATTGTTTTTTTTGTTTTGTTTTTTGTTTTTTGTAGTAGCAATAATAGCTAAAATATGGTTTATCATTATTCAAGAACACAAAAAATCAAACGAGGAACACACACATGAAAACGACAAAACACCAAAGTACTATTGTTGGTTTGTAGGACAAAACAGATCTATGAAATCTGACGGCAGTCGGCGATCACCACGGGCTTGGTAGGCATCCCACAACCATGGACCTCCTTGACAATACTCCTGATCAAATCCAATCCTTCAACAACTTGCCCGAACACGACGTGCGCGTTGTCCAGTACTGGGTCCTTCTTCAAGACGATCATGAAATCTGATCCGTTGGTGTCTGGACCTCTGTTTCCGGGCCGGTGTGCTTCAAGATGATGAAGTTCTCATCCTCCAAAAATCTATCTTCGTAAATTGATTCACTTCCCCGTTCCCGGCATTGATATCTCCTCCACAGAACATATAATCTTCGTCCACATGGTAGATGATTGATACCTTGTACTTGTAATGGAGTGGCTTACCCATCTTCCCCATGCCTTTTTTGTCCTCTTTTCATTTAAATATCTTTGTTTTTCTTTCCTCCATCATCAGACATTCTAAAAGATTCGCACCGTTTCTTTTCTTTTCTTTTTAACCGCATTATTGTCACTAACACTAGCACACGTATACATGCATCAAAACCAATTATTTGAATCACTGTTTGTTCATACATACTTTGGAAGATGATATCTTATGATTTGATAAATATAATGAGCCGAAACTACGATATGAATATATAATCCTATTCACAAGTAATTTTATGATTTGATAATTGAGCCGAATCTACGATAATTGATGGAGAAGTTGGTGAGGAGGAAGAAGAGTGCGAGAGTTGCGGAGACGAGGAAGAGTTTGTTCGCCATTGGGTTTGTGTATGTGCATGTTTTCTTGTTTTGTTTGAGTTTCTGAGTGAAGTGAAGGATTGGTTGGTATATAAAGGAGGAAGTGAAGTTTTGCATGTAGATCACGTGTAAGATTAATTGCATGCATATGTTGGTGGGTATGTGAGAGAGATGAGATGAATAATACCTGCCTTAATCCCAACAATTCAACTTGGAAAGCATGTTCATGTACATGCCTTATTATTTCGAATGCTCTAGGGTACGTTAATGGACTTTAATTTTGTGTAAGGAATAAAGTATTCTAATTAGAAGTTGAACAAGATTCTTCTGGCATTGAAAACTGCATCTCCAGGAAAGACAGAGACGATCTGTCCATAATTTCACGTGTGCACACTCATCATCACCTCTATGGAAATGATTAACTTCCCTTACAAGCAAGTCTTCCACATACCACAGAGGATCGTATAACATATAAACAACACACTGTTTGAGCAGAGATGGGTTATTACAATCGATTTGATTTAGGAGAAATTTTATTTTCAAACACGTAAACATTGCAACTGATCGGCTACTACTTTTGAAGCTTTCTTATCCTTCACCCTCCTCTTTATCTTCTTCTTCATCAGGACTGTCTTCATCGTTCCATCTGAACCTGAATCAAAGCTATATTGCCTTTGATTACTAGAAAATGTTATTTCAGATTCGCAAGTTTTGCAACTGTTGAGCTGCTTTTTTGGCTAAAGCAGTCTTACTCTCTTTAGTCTTCTTCATGGCTATCCTCCTCGCTCTCATCCTCTCCTCGATTTTCTTCTCCATCTCTTTCCCCTCTTCACTGTTTTTTTCCATTTCTTCCATGCGGCGATACAGCTCCCCGATACTCTCCGGCTGACCTCTCACAAAATCTTCCTCTTCAAATTCCCATAGCTGATCCTCAGAGTCAACTTTCCTAAAGCCCTAAAACAAACAACAAGAATTTTTAAATTTTTAATCCAAGGTCATAAAATGAATCTAATACAAAGATACACAACACAAACCATACATAGCCTTTGAGGAATCCGTCGGTAAAGATTGAGAAAGTGGCGACAGAGATTTGCCATTTCGGCAGAACATCTGTAATAACTTCCTCTGGTTTCAGATGATGAAACTCTTGCCGCTCTCGCTCCACGATATGATACCGTCCAATGAAGGATCACTCACCGCTGCATGTAATTTTCCCACACGAGAAGAATTCACTCGCTCAATTAAAGAGCGCGAGCGCGGCCTGGGACCCATCACAATTAACTTGAAGCCCTAATATTATCCCAAAACACACACAAAAACAATATTGCCCTTCTGGAAGCAAACCCTAATGTTTGTTGTCAATGAGCAAGATATCTGGATTCTGGGACCTTTTAAATAACAAAATCTAATTATTTTGATCCACAAGAGTATGTTCCTATTTATAACCTTATATCGCTTGGTTACTTTTCGTAAAGTACATAAATTGCAAAACACAAGTACTTAAAATTCATACCTTTAAATGAGTCATGCAAAAATAGTTGTTGTTCTATACAAAGATAGTTGAATTAACCAAATTAAAGTAAATTACACTTGAATATATATCGTCGCTTAGTGTGGTATATATCAAATGATCTATTGTATATGCTGTTTTTTAGTTTGTAATTAAGAAAGTGAGTGGGTGCAAGTTTTTATTAGAAAAAATAAGGTGGTACTATTTGGGTCTTAATGATCCAAAAGTTAGCTACTAATCCTCCGATTAATGACATAAATATTTACATATCTAAGACGTATATAGTTTGGTAGTTGATTAATTTGGCTAACGGACATAACTGTATTGAAATGCTCAAACGAGTACACTTTTATTAAATTAAAAAAAAAAAGTAATACAGAAAGAGTCGTCGTTCGAATCAAAAGCTGAGAAAAATAATGGAAAACAAAACCCAACTATATTACACAAACATCCGATTACAAACGACTTTTTCTTTAATCCTCGCAACAATGCCGAGGGCATTCTCGTCATTTTATCGGGCCCTGGCTTCGTCTCGGAAGGGCGTTTTGGTTATTTATGCAAACATCTGAATCTTCTTCATTCTTCTTCCAAGAGCAGCAAAACAATCAAGCCCGCCATCTTTCTCCTTTGGATCGTTTCGAATGGCGGAAATGCTCATCTCCGACGTCGGAAGCTTCCACTACCGAAGGAGACCGCTCGTACCTTGACGGCTTCCTCTTGAAATGTGTGTCTTCATCATCGCTGGAATCGTACTCTTCCCTCCGACTACTACGACGAGGAGCAGCTGAAACGGCCTGTGTCGCGGCCTCCGGCGCCGGAGAAGACTTTGACGTCTTCCGTTGTTTGCCGGAAGAAGATTCCGGCACGTTAAAGCTTATCCGAGCAAAAACGCTGGCCTTGTGGTCATCCTCAATCTCTGATTTGGTAGCAGCTGCACTCGGCACTGACGGTTGCTTCTCCGATCTCTTGCTGTGCTTGCGATCTTCCTCCCGGTGGCGTTCCCGTCTCCTATCATCATCCCGGCGGTCGCGACGGCGATCATGCTCTGAATCATGGTCTTGGTGACGATGATCACGCTCGGATTTCCTGCTGGATACTCGAGGGGGAGAGTTGAACCTCTGACGAGGCTCCGGTGATAATCTCTCCGATCGCCTGCGACGGTCGTAATCCGGATTCGGTGGAGATGGTCTCTGTTCATTGACCAAAATAAACAAGGAAATTTAAAACCTTTATTTTGATAAGCGTAAAAGACTTGCACTTGAAGATGAATAAAGAAGGAAGATGAGATACATACAGATTTTGGCTTCATTGGTGAGGAAGAGGCTGCGGCAGAGTTGTTCATCATTCTGCTCTTCTCACCGGCATTCCCTCTGCAACACACAATAACAAAGCAACTTAGTTTAACATTATGCTGCAACAAGCAGACTGAGTAAGCCTCAAATGAGGGCACAGTGCTGATAAATACCTCTCGTTTTCACGCTTTCTCATCATCTCGACTTTCCGAGCTTCAAATTCCTCTCTCCCCATGAGAGGACGTTGGAGATTCATACGGTTTCCCATCTCCGCAAGGTCCCTGCTCATATGTCCATTTGTCAATTACACTCTTTGCTCATGAAGATAATGTATTACAACACCATTTATCAAGTGGTGAGTGAGAGTGAGAGTGAGAGTACCTATGAGGTGGTGGTATATTAGGGAAACCAAAGCCCTGTGGAGCAAAAGGCGGTGGATGCATCACGCCGTGAAAAGACATGTCCATGGGGCCTCCAAGTCCATACATGGGAGGCATGGCGCCGGGATAAGGGCCTCCAAACCCATTGAAACCATGGTGAAAGCCGTTGAACCCGGGTTGGAACCCGCCTTGCATACCGTTGAAGTAAGGATTACTCGGACCTGGACCCATAGGCATCATGTACTCAGGCCCTGCTTGCATGGGATTCCATTGCATGTCTGCCACTGGGATCACACACAAAAATCATCTGTTAACCATTGACTGACTATAAGAAGAAAGAGAAAGAGCATACAAGGAAACACAAGCTACCTGTTCCAGGCATCCGAGGTTTCTTCTTCTTCTTTTTAACTGGTCACAAGAGCAAAAATTAGCATTACTTTACCAAAGATATTCATATATCATAAATTGAAAGCTTTCTCTTGCCAATGGGACAATAGCCAGTGATTACCTTGCTCACCAGAAGCAACCTGCTGGGGTATTTCTTCCTTGGGGGCCTGCGTATTCACCTGTGCTTCCTTGCCATTCAAGGATCCTCGATTGTTCTCAGATGCATCAACAGGTTTTACAATTTCTGCAGACGCCATAGGGCCACTTGTGATCTCCGCTACTTCTACTGCCGGCTTTAGAGTTGAAGTCTCATTGTTGTTACTAGGAGCTGGTTTCTTTTCGCCTATAGATGCTGCAGATGTAGTAGGAGACAGAGCTTTGGGAGGTGGACAACGAGCAGACTCCATATCTAGAATTAATTAGTTAAATCAATGATGGTACACAACACAAAGATAACAAACAGACTACGAGCGAGCGATTGACATACCCTGCGCTTGACACATGCTGCCAGCGTTCTCAGCGCTACTGTTACCAGACTCCAAGATACGGTTTATTGTATCCCTAAGCGTCTTGTTTGGTAAAAGATCATCAGCTCGTGCATTGGTTGCTCCACAGACACACATTGACTTTGCAATTATGTGATCTCTGATACCTACATTGTAGAGAGTATGCAAGTCAAAAAGACAGCATCTGTAACTGTAACTGGAAATGATTGAAGAAAAAAAAGAAAGGCTTTTGCAGATGTATTGGCAGATTTGACAAGAGAGCTTACACTTGTCACAAAAGCTCTTGAAACAGCATTTGCTCGTCAGCGCAGCATCTCTCATTACTTCTTTACACAAGGGACATTTTAGCTCAGGAGGAATTTCCCCGACAGAACGTGTTGTTGACGGCAGTCCCTCCATTGCCTTCTCAAAAGCATCCCTGAACATTGTTAAACAGACACAGATCATTCAGACTAATTTACGTGAGAAAGTAGCATAATGACAACATGTTAAATTTAGCGACGACGTACTCATTCGGTTGCAAAGCTGCAACTGCGCCATCTGCCATGGCTAAAGAGCCATCTGGGGTCGGCATCAACATAGACTTGGGGATGCCAGTGGGTGGTTTAGGTCTCTTTACATTGTAGTTAGGATCGCCATTTGTCGGGCAGTGCTGAATCAAATGTCCTGAGTCAGAAAAACAGATGCTTAGAACACGCTTCTTTCCAAGGGACGTGACACAATATCAAAACCATAATCTCACATACCTGCAGTATTGCAACGATGGCAGACATAACCTGGTGGTGGCGTTTTCCTCTCCATACCTAACCAGATAAACTCAGTCTCAGCATCTTACATGTTACTGAAAGTCTAAACAGAAAGTTTTGAGTAATAATTGATGAAATATTATTTACCAAAACCGCGTCCACCCATCCTTCCAGCCGTACCCCTCCCATAACCTCTGCCTGCGCCATAACCATCTGCACCTTGTCTGTAATATAAACGAGAAAAATAACAAGGTTACACATACATAAGTGTATGGTCAAGTTCTAATTCATATGCCAGTGCTCATCAGTTTAGCAAAATTACTACTTACTGCTGCCAGTCTAATGCTGGAGTGTCAATCAACGCCTTCAGTTTGGTTTCTTCATCTACTTCCTCATTGGCTGGTGCAGGATCAAGAGAAGGGTTACTATATTGGACAGCTGGGGCATCAGGAAGTGAATACAGATCAGTCCCAAACTCATCTTCTTCAGCCTACAACGAATAACAAGGTGTGAGTTACAACTTGGATAGTCAGAACTCAATCAATTACCAACAGAAACCGAGACAAGGTTGCTGTAAACAACTCACCACAGATGCATCAGCAGTTATAGGATTGTTGTTCATGTAAGCTTGAACGTTTTCCACTCTTTCCTCGACGACTCTCGGCCTGCAAGACGTAGATTTTTACATCAAATAAGATCACAAAGACTGAACAAAGTTACAAGAAGTTATAGATCAAAAGTATGGATCTTTGAGAAATACTCTTGAGGGGTAATAATTCTGATGCGAGGGCGTCCGGGGACACGGCGAATGAGGACAGAGGTGTTCTTTGGGATTAAGTGTGCGTCATCCAGATATTCTGAAAATTGCAGAAAAGAAAAACATGTTAAAGGCCACAGATTGATTGCATCTATATAGGCGGAATAAACATCATAAACAAGAAGCAAATTCCGCATGACTCTTTCTCATGATTCACACAAGTACCATAACCAATCAACAACAGGCTAACCTCAGAACTAATCATATTCAACTCAAGGAAATTACAGCATACCAAAACTTGATTCAAGCATTTCAATTTTTATGATTATAAACTAATAAAAGCAAGTCCTTTTACTAAACAATAGAGCACACTCAAATCTACTATGGGATTAAGAAGGAGGAAGACAAACCTTGGTTAGTTTGGGCATTAGAGATGACAATGTCAAGGTCTTTACCACTGCCCAAATGCTTTGTTTCGTAAATTTTATCTTTGAGTAAACCAACTGTTATAAAAGGTCCATCCATGGAGATGGTATCATAATCCCTCGCACTCTTAAACTTGTAATAAATTGCCATTGGATTTATCTGATAATGAATAAATACAATATGTATTACTAATTTTAATTAGACAGATTATCAAACAAAAACACAAGAAATCTACTGTTTTTCCGAAAACCAAATCCAGGCCCTTCCGTATATGTAAAAAAAAAAAGGGAAAGGCCAGAAATTGATTTCCGAGAACAAAAAAGTAACTAACTACAAGAGAAAAACTCGTATGGTTCTTTACTTTCTCTGATTTAGACTTGACCAAAATTCGACAGACGAAACCTCAAACGCGCATCCACTTTTCAGATCGGAGAATTTCCCACAAGCTCACGGACGAGAAAGAGAAAGCCCGCGTTGAATCGAATCGAATCGAATCGAGGGTAATTGGGCAGGGACGAAGCTCAGCTGCACTAAAGATGTCTCCAAATCTCCGGAAGGATCTTCACCGCGTACACAAACAATCGAACGAGCTGCTTCAATCCTCAAACTCCAAGCACCGGAGCCAACGATTCTTGGACGATCTATCGAGGAGAAACCGATGGGGATCGCACGAACTCTCTAGGGTTTGTGCAGAGATATTGTGTACAAAGAGATTTCCCCTAATTCTCTCTTATGGTAAATTTTTTGTCTTTTTTTTTATATAGTGGAAGACGTTACGGTTTAGTCATTAATCATCTTCTTCTATTTAAAGATCACGTAATCCGGTTTATGACTAAGGGAATCAGAGAAAAAAGAGGGAAACCGAAGGGGTTAGTGGGCCATTACCAAACTATGGTTGCGCCAATAAGGCCCAGTAACGAAGCTAAATGGGCCAGACCGAAGGGGTTCTCTCACAGCGAGTGAAACCCTAGCTCCCCTGTGGATTATCTATTTAAAAAGCAGAAACCTAATAGGAAGAAAAAAGTGACCGCGACGCCGGAAGATCGAAATGGGTATGTCGATCTCTCTACTCTCTCCATCTCTCTTTGATGGGTTTATGTTATGTTGATGTGATTTTGGTCGATATCTGTGTTTGTGTGAGTGAATAATTGAGAAAGAAATGTGATTTTTGGGCGACAGGTGCGTACAAGTACGTGTCGGAGCTATGGAGGAAGAAGCAGTCGGATGTGATGAGGTTTCTCCAGAGGGTTAGGTGCTGGGAGTATCGCCAGCAGCCTTCCATTGTTCGTCTTGTTCGTCCCACACGTCCCGACAAAGCCCGTCGTCTCGGCTACAAGGCCAAGCAGGTTCTTGTTCTTCTTCTTCATCTTCTCTTACCGTTGTTAGTAGCTTTAGGTAATGATAAACTGCTGGTCAAGCGGTGTCTTGACGCGTAGGCCATATGTCTGCGTCAACATGATAGAATACTTCCTGAAACCAGCTACATCAAATTCAATCTTCTGACTGAACAGCTCTTTATCTACTGTGGAATCTGTTCTTGTCTAAGATTGATACATTTTTATGTTTTTTTGAACCCGGAGTTTAAATGTTATATTTTGCTTGCGTGTTTTCAATCACTGATCCTGTGATGCTGATCTATTGTGGTTGTTTGGTACAGGGGTTTGTTGTGTACCGTGTCCGTGTGAGACGTGGTGGTCGAAAGAGGCCTGTTTCCAAGGGTATTGTCTATGGTAAGCCCACTAACCAGGGAGTGACGCAGCTCAAATTCCAGCGCAGTAAGAGATCTGTTGCTGAGGAGCGTGCTGGTCGCAAGTTGGGTGGCCTTAGGGTCGTCAACTCCTACTGGCTCAACGAGGTATGCACCACACCCGAATTTGCTGCTACCATTTTCACTGTGACATTGAGGATATTTTCATTGGTAGAAATTCTGGTAGATATCTGAAATGATGATTAGAGTTTGGTTGATTAATGGTGGAATTTGATTTGTTTTGCTTAGGATTCTACCTACAAGTACTACGAGATTATCCTTGTGGACCCTGCACACAATGCCGTCCGAAATGATCCAAGGATCAACTGGATCTGCAACCCAGTGCACAAGCACAGAGAGCTCAGAGGACTCACCTCCGAAGGAAAGAAGAATCGTGGTCTTCGTGGAAAGGGTCACCGCAACCACAAGAACAGACCTTCTCGCAGGGCTACCTGGAAGAGCAACAACACTCTCTCTCTCCGTCGTTACCGTTGATCAACTCTTTTATTTCTTGTTTTTCTCGACTGGTATATCCTTCTTTGTGGATTTTCGTTTCGGAATACAATGGGATTCAAGTGTTTGTTTTCAAGTTTTGAACCTGACCAGAAATTAAAGCTTCTTAGTTGATTTTGATTTCGCTTTTGCTATTTACTTTCGATTTTTGGTGATTAGTTCGTACCATAAAATTCGGAGACGCAATTCTATAAAAAAATTGAGTATTAGTACTTGTAAAAAGCTTCTGTTTAGAGCCTTCCTTCGATGAAGCTGTCTTTGAGATTTTGAAGAGCTTGGCGAATCGAGTCCTCCGTCTGTTTAGAGTACTTTAGGCATATCAATTTCTGAGCGACACGATAGATCCGATGCATTTCATGGTGCTTCCCGCAGTTTAGCTCTATTCTTCTCATTTCCTGCAGAACTTTTAATTATGAACACGATAACTGGAAGACCTTGTACTGTATGAATGAAACATTTTGCTGAATTTTTTTATTTAGTAAGTTTTGAGTAAGACCTTGTCGGTGATCCTTGAGGTTATGGTCCTAGCTGTTTCGATCACTGTAATAGGCAGACCAGCCACTTGGGCTAACAGAAGGCCGTAGTGAGGAACATGTAGGGTTCCATCTCGAAGTTGAAACTGATGAGAAAATGTAAAATTCAGCAGCAGTTGGTAGCTAAAACCTGGAACCAATAATACTAAACGAACGCAGACACAACCTTGAAGTCTAAGCGGTTGTCTCTGATGTCTACGTAAAAGTGAAGAACCTTGACATTAGGGTAGATGGTTGCTAACTCTGCAAGACTGTCCATATGGGTTGCGAATACTGTGTACCTGAGAGTTTATAGCCACAATCGAAATGCACATTTGCATTTACTTCTTATTAAGTATGTTTAGGCGGGGGAAAAGAAACTCAGTTAAAAAGCTTACGCTTTGAGTGACAAGAGATACTCGCAGCAGCTCCATGCCATTGCTAACCCGTCTGAGGAAGAAGTCGCCCTCCCGAGCTCATCCATAACTATCAAACTCCTACAATGTTGGAGGCGTTAACAATATATGAAACTGAGTGGGGAGGTTCGTTTGTATCAGTGCTTTCACAAAAGGGTACCTGTTGGTGACATTCTGCATTATGAAAGCTGTCTCTCTCATCTCTGTCATAAACTGTGACATTGAAATTTAAGGGATGATATCAACAGGCTCTACTACCAATATGGGACAATGTCTATGCGAGAGGCTTAAAGGATTACCGTGCTTGAGTTTGACTCAAGATTATCCATTGTGCCCATTCTCGTGAAAATGCGGTCAACCACTCTTATAGTTGCGAAGCGAGCTGGGACATAGCAGCCAATCTGAGCCAGAATGACTACTAGACACACCTGTTGGAGATATGTGCTCTTTCCGCTCCTTGTGATATGGAATGCAAATACAAGCATGAGTCGATGATGGTTTTTCTTGGACAATTGACCAGATATTGAGAGTGGCAGAGCAGCAAGTGTTCCCTTACATGTTTGGACCCATAACTACCAACATGTTGGTTGCTTCTGACATGAAGATACTATTCGGCTGCAAAAAGAGAAAATTGTGTGGGTTAACCAAGCGTGCACAGAGCCCGAAATGATAACAGGGGATACAAGTAAGCTGGTGAAGAAAGTGAAAAAAGGAATATCAGATACTTTTCTTCATGTTTTGGCACCAAGATGATTTCTAAGGATAAATTGAGGGATGGTAGTATCATGAGAAATGGCACAAACAACTTACAACAAAGTCGTTGTGGATGCTTTCTAGGATGGGATGCCTTCCAGCATCAATTGCCAGTGGGCCACTATCTGCCAAACAATATATATATATATGCTTCAGTTAAGGTGCAGTCAATTATCGCACACGCTATTTCCATTTTTCTTATATGCTTCAGTTTAACTGTTCAAGAATTATCTAGATAAAGGAATATGTGAGGATACAACGGTAGGTATTTGAGGAAAGGTAGTGTGAGAGTCAGCTACCTGTTAGTTCAGGTCTAGAGTATCGATCAACTGGCTTTGTGGATATTGTATGAGCAAATGAATTGACAATCATATCTAGGAGACATAAGACTTCTGCTAGCAGTGTGAGGGCAGAGACATCTTCCCTTATAGCATCCATTAGTGCTGCATACATACAGAAACCGTTTCATGTAATAGCCATAAACGAACCAAGCCTGATAACACTATAATAATTCGCGTTAATACATATTTTTGCAAGAAATGTGCAGTTACGAACCTTCTAGGCACGTTTCTGTTCGAATGTAACACTCACCAGCCGCAGACTTATTCCTGACATTCAACTGCACAATAGATCAATGCACAATAGATCAATGTACGGTTGATATTATTGAAACATTGTGTCTAGGTTCCTGAATCATGAACGTAGCTCCTACTTCTAGATTTGAGGGCTCATTCTTCTCATATCATGGTGTTTTAAATTTCAAGTCTCCGCTAGATTAAAACCTTGGGAGTGGAGTTTTGTTCATCTAATATCATTTGTATGTAGCTGTAACAGAATCACACTAGGAAACAAGGTATTAGAAATTGTTATTATTCAACTTACAGAAGCCAGTTCCAGACTCGAAAAATGTATGTTTTTCCCATGTTTTACAACCTGGACGTACAAGAGAAACTAAAGTCAGGAAAACCATATATATATATAGATAGAACATTTAAGTTTCCAATGGAAGTGCGATTTTGACCTGAGTGAATTTGCTTGGAAGTTTTCCCTGAACTTCCTTCTGTGGAATTCTGAAAAAGAAGCCTTGCCTGTTGTTGAAAGGGAGTTTAAGATTTGGCAAGTTGAATTCCTCACGATACTTACTGGCCAGAGTATGTATTGCTGTCATTTTTTACAAGATTTCGGATTAGCTGAACAGATTTGTAAAAG